TCTTCTGGTAAAGCTTCATTCTTAATTTACACGTTTCTTTTTTTAGGCTTGGCTTAAGAATTATAATCAAATTATGTGGTTATAGCTTAATTCACTTAATTTATCTTTTTAGGCACTGGCAACCAGGGTATTTTAGTTCGAAGAAGATATGAGCTATCAGTTGACGATAAGTCTATTCTCAGTGCAACTTCCTCAACTTCAGGATCTACGCGTTCGCAACCACTAGTTAATGGCTCTTCTGGCAGCTACCTGCCTCATTCACATTTCACCAGGGGTATAGACCCTATTGGGGATTCTGAGCCAATTGCTGCATCTCCATTTACAACCAGCGGAGCGCTCAGCGGACTACGCCATTTTGGGCAACTACGTTCGACTTCTTCAGTTCGCCGGCATGGCTCTAATCTAAGAAATCATTCCAGGAATACTTTTGTTACTGGTATAACAACATCAAATTCAAATTTAGGTACCTATTTAGCCTTTATATTTTCCATAAATTATATGCTGAAGTTTCTTCAGAATTATTAAATTGCTATACACATCTTATGAAGTTTTTATATTTGGCATTTCACGATCTTTTTGAGCTTCAATTATTGTCCATTTATCAGATGGTTTTTATAGATGTAAGTTTTGGATTCTATATTCTAAATCAATATTATTTATGAAAATATAACTTTAGAATCTGGTCAATTTTCTATGCAGAGTGATATTAAAGTCTAGATAGTAAGATCAAAACGATGTATTTTAGTCCAGGTTACAGTCTCTTTTAGCTATATATGATTGGCCTGACCTAGTTTTCACAGCTAAGTCGGCGCGGCAGATAAACCAGCAAGGCTCACTGACGATGTCGGCTAGACTTCTGGGAATGTACCAAGTTCACGGTCTGGCGCTGGTACCTAAGATAACCAAGTCGCCCTGACAACAAGAACAAATTGCGAAAACGAGGTCAATCCATTTATATACCTGGTTAAGGCTTTCGCTAATTCAGAATGAGTTTTTAAAGTTTCATATTGCCAAACGTATTGGAAGCCAACCACTGACATGGCTGACTACTGACTATGATTTTTATTACCGTTGAAAAAATGTGCTATTTTATGGATTATTATCTTCCGTCGTGTGAAATTTTTATTTTACTTATCATAAACTGGTTTCCAAATTCTTTATGATGAATTAATAATGCATTTTTACTTAATTTTAGCAATGTCAGCACACAATTATTTTGGAAAAATTATATTTTACTTGCTAATCGTCCTTTGCGTCTGGAGATGATTCCATTTATACTCTTTTCCTGCATAAATTTGCATCAGCCCCTTCCCGGATATCGCTGATTCGTTCACGGCCTTCTATCCGACTGATAATGCCACGATTGCTTCGTGTTTCTGGCAGCCAGAATGTCGAGCTCGATCTTGGTGCTGGCGATGAGGAAGGTGACGAACATGCAGACGAAGGAGAGGAAGAAGATGAGGAGGACGAGGAAGAGGAAGAGGAGGAAGAAGAGGATGAAGAGGATGATGAAGATGGTGATGTTGATGAGGATGACGATGACGGTGAAGATGCCGATAACGATGAAGAGCAAGAAGATGACATTAATGATGAAGACGATGAAGATGGTGATGAAGCGGCTGCAAATCTAGAACCAGTCGCTGACGAGACTGACATTCCCCTTGATATTCTATCGCCTGATACTCCAGTTAACGACTCTTCCTCTGATGCCCAAACTGCGCCCTATTTAGATTTCTCTCCTACTCAACACCGGTGCCAAAATCCATCTCATTTTTCAAGCTCTACTTTATCGTCCTCCATTACCTCTTACTATACAACTTCTTCTCAGGCTGCGCACCAGACAGTGATAGTTCCTACTAGTCAGTCTGCCCCTAATGGTGCTAATGACGGAATTGCTAATTCAGAATGTGATCAGTCTCCCGAATCACTAACAGATAGCGAAAGATGTCGAGAAAGAAAATATGAATTTGCAGTGGAGATGCTGAATAAGTCAGAAGATGAGCAAGGTGAGGTTGATGGAAATCGGGATTACTTTAGGGCTGGTTATTTATCGGAAGAACGGCTTTTGGAATATTTTGCTAATGACTTAAATTCCAATGCGAATCATATCAATACGGACTTTGCATCCATTTCACGTAGTGGTTTTTATGATAGTGACTTTAACTGTCATCACCTACACCAAGCATTTTCGGCTCGCCAGCTTTCTGGTCAGTGACCAAATGGACAGAAACTTCTTAAACCTCTTTCAGATGAATCCCTTCTCGCATTCCGAACTCCAAAACCATCTGTTACTCCAATCTGGCCAACAATCACCGTCGTTTAACCAACTTCATGCAAAAAATTATTGCCAGAGCCCCGGGACCTACTCTGGGGCTAATGTCTTTGTGAGCGATGAGAACAATATACACAAGCCTTTGAGGTTTATTAATAAGGCTAGGTTAGGCCGATTTCCCTCTAGTTATTTGATAGGTCGGAACACATATGATAAGGACGCAATAGAAAAATGGGAAAGTAAGAGAACCGAACAAGGCGATAATGAACGGGATGATGATACGGAATTAAATGGACGGGTTTCTGATAAACCCACATTAAAGGACTGCTTTTTAACTCAGACAAAAATGAATCAATTCTAAAAAATTATGAACGGAATTCTTCTAATCATAAGTCGTCTGCTAGCTAATCATGCATTCGAAACTTCGTCTTTCAGTGAGCCAGGCATAAACTCAGAATCCCTGATTTTTTATGTATATTACTGTAAGATGACGAATATATTTCAAAATATTTTTGTTTCGATTGCACCACCACTTCCAGTGAATGCAATACCCGTTACTGCTTCGTCCTCAACTATGCCTTCAAAGCTGCGTTTGCTTTGGTCGGGTATCTCTACCACCATTTCAGAGGTAGCTTTCCGGCATATTCGCCCATTTGCTTCAAAGTGTTTTCACTCAAACCGGCCGCACCATAGTGTCGCCTTTTATGACAGTCCGGTCTGCTCGGCAGCCTCCGTGATGCTTGGTTTTCCAGCCGGTAGACTGCATTCTCCTATTGTTTCTGCCACCTTGGCCTCCTCCTTGTTAATGCCTCGAACTGGAACCTTCTTTCTAAGCGCCAGTCTTTCTTCCTCCACTTTACTTTGTTAGTGTTTTGTTCTGATCCTCAATTTCCACATTTTTTCTAAGGACCTATTATTCTTGTTTTTCTCTTGAGAAAGTCTGATAGTCGCTGATATACAAAGATAAACATTCGTGTCTGGTATGTGTACACATGATTAGATGCGACAACTGATTCTCTCGATAGTTTTAGAGAAATTTTTTAATGATGATTTACTTAGACTGTCTCTTAGACTTGTATCAAGCTATTCCTCATCTCACTTTCTATTTTTAAACTATGCATCTTCACTTATTTGATTAGTTTTTAGGTCATCAATATTCTTTATCTTAGGTTTAATTCCACCTCCCAGAGATTTTCTATTCTTCCTGACACTTACAAGGATTATTTTGAGCTTTTCTTTTATTTATGCGGCTAATTTTAAATGATTTTTTTTCACTTTTAAAGTCTTCTATCTCACATTTAGGTGGTCGGCTTCGTCTTTCTTTTTCTTAGTACTCAGTTAAGTCTATTTGCGGCATAGTCTAAATCATGAATATATATATATATAATCTGTCTTGCAATTATGTAAATTTTCCATCCTCTTCCTTAACCTAAAGACAATCCCATAATATTTGTCTAAGTTTATTTTACTTTCTTTATCACGTAGATTTAGCTACTCTGATCTAATTAATGCGTTCTTATCATAGTAAGCGTTCCCTTATACTCCACTAGCCTTGCTTTCTTTTTTCTATTTTCAACTACCTGTCTTGTTTTCCATTCCCTCTTAGTTGAACGCCGAATACCTTTGAGTGGCTCTACAATTCTACCTTCAATTCGAAGGTTTCGGGGGCTAATCGACCCAAGATGGTTACTTTCTTTTCCCATGGACTCTGCTTAGCTCAGCCTTGGGTCCTTTGCACTCTACTTTACATGCGCAGTTGATCGCTTGGCCGCCATCTGATAGTCGAAATTCTTTTATATCCATGGTTTTAGAGTCTCTTTGATAGTTCTATTTCAATTATTTCTGCATAAACTTCTATCTTCGCTTGAGCCCAATCCTTTTTACTCACCCGTCTACTACTCGCCTAAAAGATTCCGCCACTAGCTTACTGCTACTGCATTCTTTGTACCATATCGTTACTTCTCGTCGTCGTCCCCCGACGCCTTCTATCGACTAAACTTCTGAAATGCCTGTCCCGATTTTTTGACCGTTTTGCCGCTAGGCCTATTTAGTGCCTTTTTTGCTTCAATCTTTTTACGCGTGCCTCTCTGGAGAGGAATGACGATTCTCACAATACTAAATATTAGCTCACATGCAAAAAAGTGAGTAATAAGACCTTAATCTCTCCTTGTCTGTATCTGTACTTGTATAATTTTACACAATTTTTTTCCATTTACCTGAGGCTAGCAAGCTAGACCAAAAGTGGAGTAAATGCCTCTGCTCGGGTTTCGAGCGATTGCATATAAATGTACCTATTTAATGTAGAACCAGAAGAAAAATAACTCCCTTGTAGGTCTATTTTCCTCGTTTATTTGGGTTAATTTGTCTTCTTTCGTCTCAATAAATATTACCCAATCATTGTGTTTTAATTATTTTTTGTCCAACTGAGCGCTCAAGGGAGCTGTATTCGATTCATAGAGTTTTAGTTTTATCTTGAATAGCATTTAGCCAGACAAATTGAAATTTAATTTTATCATGCAGTTTCGAATTTAAATGCTAAGTTTCAATAGTACATTCGCAGTACATTGTCAGGCTAAAGTTTTTAAAATTTTAGATATTATTCTTCAATAAACTTAAGTACCTTCATTGACATTAAAGGCTTTAACGTTTGGAATCGTTGCGCAAATGCGAATATACTGTCAAACTTGTCTTGGTTGGCTCAACCGAGACTTAGCAGTAGTGTATGAGCATTTTTACACAATATAATATTTAGGATAATTACTTTTTATTAAAAAATAATGGAGGCGAAATTATTTGTTAAGTAATTTGCGTTCGAATTCTAATTTATTATTTTATATAATCTGCCTAGTGGATACAAGACTTAAAAATGACAAATTGATGGATAAATTCGGTTATTTTCGCACGATGTTTTCAACTGCTTTTCATTGCTGAAGCCTTTGGGCTTCATGTGAGTTACTATATACCTTCCTTTTTATTAGCGTATATCTTTATAGGCGATATCTCAACGACTTACTAACATACACTCTTTAGTGTAAGAAAGGGAAAACATATTTCGCTCACCTTGCGTCTGCCATGCACTTTTTTGTTCCGCGCGAGGCCTAGTTGCCTTTAACCTACATTCAGATAATTTAAATCTGAAAAGTTAGCGAATGCCCACTTATGAAGCGGGAAATTTCCGTTTCCAAATGTCTCAATTTTATTAGCAATATTCTCATATTTTATGATTTTATAATCACACGTTCCAACTTGTTTATATTTATAAAAAATAGGTTTTATTAACACTGAAAAGAATTTTTGTCTTCCTGGGTCGCATAATATTATGAAAGTGAATTTTTCCTACAATAATATTGGTAGACACTACGCTTCCATAACATTTAATTAGTTTTTTGGGCGATAAGGATTCAGAAATTCATTGCAATAGACGAACTCTAGCTCTATTTATTGTGGACGACGAAAGGCAATCAAGGTTTTAGCATATTCAGCTCTGATTAAAGCCTGACGATGATTTAGCTATCATAGATTATTGAGTCATCGCGATCATTGATAGGACTTAGTGTTTATAGACGAGTAACGTGTTAGAGAAAACTTATTCCCGGGGTAGATAAAGTACTTCCGATATCGTGTCTAACATATAAACCTAGACTAAAGTACGACGAAACTAAGAATAGGTGCGTATAAGTGAACTATAAACTGGCAACAAGCAGCAGATTACGTGGGGGATTGGCTCATACAGTGCATCCAGCTGATATCAAGGGGCCAAGAACTATGTAACTCCAATAGCAGACGAACATGGTTTGGCATCGCCTTTGTGGGACGAGACCGATTAGGCTTCGAGAATATTAAATTATTTTGAATAAGAGTAGTAGTCACTCTAGATCGAGGATTCCTACAACTATAAGACTAGGTCTGATGC